CATGCCCAGCCTAGAAGCTGCATACAGAAGGTGCTCAATCATGCTTAAGCACCCAGTGAATAACAGCAGAGCATCTCACCTTCTCCAGACCAGAAGCAAGACGCTGGAGGGGTGAGGTGTTTGGGAACAGTGCCCCCCAGGGAGAGGAGGTTCCCTGCTGGATGCCTGCCCTGTCCTGACCTGACTGTCCCTGCTGGCCAGTCCTGAGGACCCCATCTGCACCCTGTTTCCTCATCCTCTGCGGTCAGCTTTGCAGCTCAGGCCGAGGGAGTCAGTGAGAGCCAGCAGGACCCCCTCCTGGGCCTGGAGGGCAGGTGTACCCTCCTTCATGCAGCACGCATTGGGCACCTCTGTGTGCCAGGCTGCAGTGGGGGCCGGCAACCCACGGGTCCAAGCACAGGAGTCACAGCCCAGGGCTATAGCGCCGTGCTGCCAGGGTGGCTGGGGAGGGTGTCCCGGGGGAGGAGAGGACACCGCTGCTGGGGCCTGCAGGCTAGGACGTGGCTGGGGTGGCAGCCTGGGCCCCACCTGCAGGATGATGATGAAGAGGAAGTACAGGTTGGACACTCGGTGGAACTGCTCGTAGAGGTTCAGGGGCAGGAAGGAGAGGACGCTGTACTTGGCCGTGCGGATGACGTTGGTCTGGAAGAGAGCTACCGGTGGGCATGCCGGGTGCTGCCAGGCCGGGACCCCAGCCAGCCCAGCCCTCCCTGGACAGGGCCCTCGCCGGCGCCTGAGAGGCCACGGCCAGATTCAGTCCGGCGTCTACTGAACCAGGCCCACGGAGCACCGCTGAGGCCAGAGTTAGTGGACAGCTGAACGCGGTCCCGCAGCTGGGACTCCTGTGCTCCGGGCAAGGCCCTGCGGGAGGTTGGACCCAGGACGTGGGGGTATGTATCAGGTGACTTTCATCTTCACTGGGCAGGGAACAGGAATGAACCCAGCCTGTTCAAGACAGGAGCTGGCGCCTGAGTAACATCAGGATGCAGGGCACACGCAGGTGACGGGAGGTGACGGAGGTGACGGGAGCCCGGCACCCATGGGGCTCCGGGAAGCAGGGTGGGGGCCCACCTTGTACTTGTCCCTGTACCAGCACAGGCACACCTTCTTCTTGAACTGCTTGTAGTAGCCCCAGTCGTTGGCCCTCACCTCCCAGGTGAACGCTGCAGGGACAGGCAGCTGATGGCGCCGGCAGGAGCACTAATGGGTCCCCAGGGGCCTGGGCGGCTCGTAAACAAACGGTTGGCACCTCTGGGGTGCAACCCAGTCCCTGCCCTGTGCTCATCGGATGCTGGCACAGGGATCCCAGGAGTGTCTCCCTTCCCCTGAGTCACCTCCACTCAGAATGCGCCTGGAGACTCACTAACGTCCACTCATGTCTACAGATGGGTAAACTGAGGCTTGGTGATGGGCTGTCAGGAACCCCAGACCCCAAGGCCTGCTTGGGCAGCCCCGAATCCTGAGTCCCCCATTCAGTGATGGGTGTGAAGCCCCATGTCAGCACCACGCAAGTCCTGCATGTTTGTGGGGGGGTAGTCCCAGCCCCCCCATTCCCCGCAGGCACACCTCCCTCCACCCCAGGACATGCACCTGTCCAGCCCCCCCATTCCCCGCGGGCACGCCTCCCTCCGCCCCAGGACATGCACCTGTGTGCTCCTTATCCTTCAGGTCTCTTTTGTGGGTACCACTGCCCATGTTGGTGAGACTGTCAAGGAGAAGGGCCCAAGGCCAACATCACACCTGTGGCCCTGGCCCAGGCTGGACACTGCCTGTTACTGGGCCCTCAAGGAGTTCAGGGCCTAGGGGTCCACCCTCTAAACTGACTACCACGTGTAGCTGTGGCCACCTCCCTGGGCTCAGAAAATTCTGCCACTGTCTGTGTGTCCTCAAACCCAGGGGTCCCAAACCTCTCCCAAACCTGCAACAGCCCCACGTCCACCAGTCTCCCAGATGGCACCCCAATTTTGCCTCCATTACAGCCCGGACCAGGGATTCCAGCCACGAGCCACTGCTCCCTGCTCCAAGACAACCGTGCCCAGTTGCCCTCCCTGCCCCTCTCCCTGGGGCCCAGCACTGGGTTAGATGCTCAATCTGTGTTTGTTGACGGACCAGACAGACCCAGGGTTATGTCATATCTCCCAGCAGTGTACACGAGGGGTCTGGCCTTGGAGAGCCTAGGGAGGGTCCAGCAGGCCCAGCCACTCCCCTCCCAGCTGGGAACCCTCTGTTGACCAGCTCAGGAATTCTGAGTCTGTTTTGCCAACCACCCCTAACCAGCAGCCCCTTCCCTGGCAGCTCCCCAAATAATCCCTCACCCAACAGCGGGGACCCAGGAGTCCCAAGCCCACCCTGAGCCTGAGAGGCGCCCACTCCACAGCACTCCAGCCGCTCCCTCCTCCCCAGGCCCTGCCAGAGCACTTTCCCCGCACGGTTGAAGCCTCCTCACCGCGGCGACCTCACTCTGTATGTCCCGGACCTCGAAGGCTGCGCCAAGCGCCTCCTGGGGGCTTGCCCTCTGCCTGGGGGGTCCCCCATCCTGTTTCTGACTGCCTCTCTCCTTTACTCTCTCCTTTTCTGCTGAACCCTCCACCTCCCTGGGGCTGGGATCACAAGCATCTGAGTCATGAGTGTCCCCAGGGCCTGGTGGGGCAGGGCCTGGCTCAGGGACAGCGCTGGTCTTCTGGGAATCTGAGAGGGGCCAGTGCCCATTCACCAGATGAGGAAAAGTGAGGTTGAGGTGAAGTGCAGCTTGATGAGGGGAAGACCCGGTGGGTGGGGGCTGGGTTTGGAGGAGACCAGATGGCCAGAATCGCCCAGAGCTATCTGGGGACAGAAGCACACAGCTTGCTTCCTCCCACCCCACTTGCAACTAACCCGAGCCCCAGTAACCACAGTCCCCAGGATTGCCCCCGGGGGTGCAGGGCAGGTTTCAAATGCCCAGAGCACAGCCCGGGCCAGGGAACTCTGTCTAGTGGGCGCCAGGCTCTCTGGCACCCCGTCCCAGTGTCCTATGCACGAACCTCTAGGGGGTGCCCTGTATCGGCCTCTGCAACCCAAGTCCTCAGACGGCCGAAACCCGGAGGACGCATAGCAGTGGAGCACTCGCCGCTCACCTGCGCGGGCCGGGCGGGGGGGGGGGGGGGGGACCGGGCTGCTTAAGGCGGGCCGCCGGGCATCCAGGCGGTGGACTTGGTGGAGCTGTTAGCCCGGTGCCAACGGGTCTGAAACGGGCGGCACGGGCTGGGGGCGGGGCTGGGGCCGGCTCTTGACGAGGGAGGGGCCAGGAAGAAGGCGGGGCCTGGCTGAGAGGGCAGGCGGGGCCGGGGACAAGCTCGGGGGCGGGGACAGGCCGCAGGCGGGACCTATAGGAACCTCGCAAAGAGGGGCGGGGCCCGGGCGAGTGGCTCACCGCCCGGAGGCCTCGATTTGGAGGGCGGGGCGCGGTGGCCATGCCTGTCATCCCGGTGCGCGGGAGGCTGAGGCAGGAGCGTCGCCAGCTCAAAGCCAGCGTCAGCAACTTTGCGCGGCCCTAAGCAACTGAGACCCTGCCTCAAAATTTAAAAAGTATTTTGAATTTTAAAAATTTATTTTAATAAAAAATGGTTCAGTGGCTCAACGCTCCTGGGTTCAATCCCTAGTACAAACAGATAAGGCGACAGGAGCGGCCCGAGGATGGGGGCGTGGGGGGGGGCTTCATTCCGCAGGGAAGGATCGGGAAGATCTTCAAAACAGGTCCCGGTAGTTAATGGCCAGTCCCGCCAAGACGGGCCTTGCAGGCATGACTGTGTGGGGCTGGACTGGAGGACACAGGTCATGCGGGTATGTGGCCTGGCTGCCCGCCGGCCGGCCGGGCGCCGTGCTGGCTCTAGGCTGGGGGCCAGGTTAAAACACTGATCAGCCTGCGGGGGGGGGGCGCAGGAAGCCCACCGGGGTGTCTGTCCCACGTGCACTGCCCAGAGGGCCGGTTGAGGGTGGCGGGGAGGGAGACCGAGGAGATATCCCTGGTCAGCAGCAGTCTTCAGACAGAACTTTCTGAAACTTGGAAATGAGGAGGGCACCAAACTTTGGCTGCCCAGGCCCTTCCTGCCCTCCTGCCCTTCCCCCTATCCAGCCCCTATGGCAGGGTCCCTCCCTCTGGCCTGGCCCCCACCCAAAAGACCAGGGTGCCTGTGTCTGCCAGACTGTCCCCCAATCTCCTCCCAGTGTCACCTACAGGCAGATGCTGGGTGAATGAAGGAAAGAGGCCGCAGTGGGGAAGACAGGGGCCCCACTSCCTCCCCCAAGTGGCCGCCTTCGGAGGCTCCCAGTGAACACTTMGCTTTGGAAACCAAGGGCAAGCTTGTTTGACTCTTAGGGTGCCTTAGATTGATTAAAGCAAAAGGCACTTATCTGACACCCAGTCATTGGTTATAAGACTCCAGTGGGGGTGGTCCTAAGAAATCTTTCTGGTACCCTTTAGCCAAGTGCAGTGGCGCATGCCTGTGATCCCAGCAGCCCAGGAGGCTGAGACAAGAGGATGGCAAATTCAAAACCAGCCTCAGCAACAGCGAGGCCCTAAGCAACTCAGTGAGATCCCGTCTCTAAATAAAATACAAAATAGGGCTGGGGTGTGGCTCAGTGGCCGAGTGCCCAAGTTCAATCCCCAGTAGGGAAAAAAAAAAAAAAATGGTACCCTTTAGAAGAGTCCTTGCTTTGGAGAGCTGTGGCACCAGATCTCCCCACCCTCTACAGGGGTTCACCCCAGTGGGGACAAAGCATTTCCCAAGCACAGAAGATCAGGTGTGCAAAGGCCTTGAGGCCTCCAGGGCCAACAGACCAGTTTGGCAGGCAGAAGAGGAGCTGGCCCTCAGTTATCAGCTGCTTGTTGGCCAGCCTCTGGAGCTCCCCAACTGCCCACAACCTCCCTGGGGCAGCACGTGCACCCTGGGGAAAGGGAGTTGATATCACACAGACACGGGCTTCTGTGAATACATCGGCACCATTTATTTAGAAAATGCCTTGTTTACAGAAGGTGGGGGACAGTCAACTTGGTCAAAAGAACAGGCCCCAAGGGTGAAGATGGCCTGACTTAACTAAGGACACCCACAGGGCTAGGTACCCCAGCATGGACCCCAGGGCTGGGGACAGAAAGTGCTGGGGGAGTGGCCTCCATGTCCTTAGCCCTCGGCCCTACTCTCCTGGCCTTCAACAGCCTAAGTGACCAGGATGGCAGGCTACCTCCACCCTGCCCTGAAGCTGAAGGCCCCCTGTCTCCTGGTCCAAGAAGTTCTCCAGCTTGACTTGTTAGACACATACAATTGAGGGCCTAATGGCCTTGGGCCTCCTCTTACCCCAGCCAGCCAGCACAAGTCACAGATGGGGCCACTCAGCCACAGTTGGTGCAGCTGGCATTTCCTGGCCAGGGGATGGAGAGGCACGCGGTGGGCCAGGCCTTCCGCAGATAGGAGCAGGCGTCACTCCGTCAATCCAGGGGCCCGTGTGTGCAGCGCACCCCCCAGAGCAGGCAAGGTGGGGCTGAATCTACCCTCACCCAGCGTCCCTCAGGCAGGGGACGGGAAGTGGGGCCGGCTGCTCTAAGACACCCAGGCAAGCTCCAGGGCTGCTCCAGGACAGGGTCCTCAAGCAGGGATGGCTTGGGCCTAGAGAGGCCATCTGATGAAGGTGAGACAAGGCCCACTTGCTCTCCTCACCTGGCCCCGGGGATGGTGGCCCCACAGGGTGTGTGCGGAGGTCCTGCTGGGCACCAGGAGCACCACCAGACCATGGAGTCTAAAATCCATACAAACATTTATTGTCCCTGCCCAGGGTGGGAGAGAGTGGGGTACAGAGAACCCCATGGGGAGGAGGGCGGGGCTCTGGTGGGAAGACAGTGTCCAGAGGCTGGCGGGCCCTGGGGGCTGGTTTGGCTCTCAGAGGTCACGGAAGTCTACATGGGCAGGGGAGGCGGTTCTGGAAGCCAGCCACCCAAGCACAAGGAGCTCTCTGGAGCCCAGAGCGGGACATCCAGGCCCACCTGGGCTGGATCTTTGTGAAAGGCACCCGGGCCACTGGCTCGGGTCTGGCTAGCCTGCCCCTGTCCCCCAGGAGGGAAGCCGCACCAGGGCCTTGTTCCTCCGGTGGGGGAGGTAACTGTGCAAGTCAACAGGTTTAAATTAATAATAATAAAAATAACAATACAAAATAAAAAAAAAAAAAAGAACCCCTGTCTCAAACAAGCCCACAACAGCCCGCCCTGCCCTGACCACGTCACCGCATACGAAGAGCAGGGACAGGCCAGGTCCCACTGCCCTGGACATACAACTGGAACCTGGCAGGGGCTGGGTCTGTCCTGGTCAGCAGCAGTCTTCAGACAGGACAGGCCTAGGAGGGGGGCAAGGACGTGGGGACAGRCATGAGGGGCCACGGCAGGGGCTGGGCTGCAGGTTTGTCTTTGCGCTCTGCTCTCTCATGGCGCTGGCTCGTCCCGCTTCTGGGTTCCGTGTCTTGGCGAGGCGCACAGCATTAGCTCTCGAGATTTATTGCACTGTTTTGGAAGAGGCCTGGGGCTAAGGACGGGCCGGGGCTGCAGGAGAGGTGGGTGGGCGGCGGGTGGGCGGGCGGGAGTCATCGCTTGGTCTTAGCGTCTTCTCGGATCTTCCAGATCACTAGGTGCATGCAGGCGCTGGCGTCCTCGCTGGAGCTGTGCCCGTCCACTGCAGGGCAGACACGGTTACTGTTCGCCCTTGCCGGGGAAGAGGGCCCCCAGGGCAGGCCACTCACCATTGTCCTGGATGATCTGTCTGAGGTAGTCGGCCATGAGGTTCCGCAGGGAGCGCTTATAGGGGAGGCCCAGGCGGTGAGGGAACAGTACAGATGTGTCCACCACGGTGCTGTGGATGACCTGTGGGCAGGCGGGCAGGCAGGGTACCTCAGGACCTGGGCAGATGCACCCCCACATCCCATGGGGCCCAGAACAAAGATCCACAGGGACTCTGGGCACAATCCAGATGGGTGCTACCTTCAAGGCCAGCAGGTCACTCTCCAGGCTATGTCCAATGAGGATGGTGTCGGCGCTGAACAGGCTCAGCAGGGCAGTCTGCACGTGGGGCAGCCTGGTGCGGCAGGAGGCCAGGTGGTCCTGGGTCACCCCGGAAAACCTGGTGTTGTAGTCGACGATTTCATTGTCGGGCTTGACGAAGGTGTCATACACCACACGCATCTCTGTGTCCACCACTGTGACGCGTGTCAGCTCCAGGCCATATGTGGTGTAAGACTGCGGGAGCCAAGGGACAGGCCTCAGACACAGCCTCGTCCCCCAGAGGCCTGTGGGGTGGAGGCAGAGCCCCACTTACAGATGGGGAAACAGGCAAGAGACCTACAGGGCTCAGTGGAGGGCAAGCCCCCTGCCTCCAGAGGCACAGGGACCCTGGGCCCACTCTGGTGTGCGGGAAGCACAGCACTCCTGGGGCACGCCCACCTGGGAGCCGCCCCGGGCAGGCACCTCCCTGCCTCAGGTGACTGCACTTCACGGTGCGGCCAGGCTCCACTCCTGGCTGCGGTGCTAAACCTGCAGCTGGCTCAAGTTCCTGCCCCACAGGCTGTGACGAGTGCCTGTATCCACAGGAGGACTCACCATCTCACAGTCCAGGGCGTAGATTCCTGCGTGAGTGTCTTCTGAAAGCTCCTTCTCGAAGGTCCTCACAAAGCCTTCCAGGTTTTCCTTCCGGCCGTCCTGTACGTGTTGCTGGGGGTAGGGAAAGGGGCTCAGGGACAGAGCCCCCAGGCCAGGGGCTGCTGGGCAGGCTTAGCTCTTGTGTTCACCCTCAAGCCCATTCGTGGTAGAGAAGACCAGACCCCACGTCAGGTAGGTTCTGTGCCAGTTGGTGACCCTCAGCCTGAGCCGGGATTGCGGTTGGGAGCTGGCTGAGAAGACACGGCAAAGGGAGGGCTCCCAGGATGGCTGGGCCCTCGACCTCTGGGAACTTGGGCTCCATGGCACCTTGGTAAGGGCTGGCTAACTGGGCCATCTGCCAGGACCTGAGGCCAGGCTGCAATGTGTCCCTTGACCCCAAACCAGTCCAGAGTCAGAAGGCAAGAGCCTCAAGTGGGTGCCAGGGCAGGACTCACCTTTGCGACCTGACAGCCAACGGAGCCAACGGCTGCCGAGCAGCACATGTACTGCGTCTCCCAGCCCCCAGCCACTGAGGGAGAGACAGCGGTCAGGGGCACAGCCTGGGTGTCCCAGCATCTCCACCACCAGGCTGGCCCGTGCCAGGACAGGGCTTCCTAGCAGAGGGATGCCAGCCCCCTTCTGTGGTGTGGCAGCCAGGCCCTACTATGCAGTGAGGACGGGGAACTCAGGGGCTGAGCTGGAAGCGACTGGGTCCTTCCCCAGCAGCTTAGAAGCCAGGAAGCAGCAGGCATGGGCACCACGCAGGCCTGCAGGAGTGACAGGGCCTACAGCGGGCTGTGCCGGCAGGTGTGAAGCAGCACGAGGCAGGGGGAGCAGCCTGGGCTGGGGCCCGCACGACTAGACCAAGTGGAACTGGGAACAGCAGGACAGGACGAGCCCTGTGTTCCCAGGGTGGCAACAGCCTCTGCGTTTCTACTTTTACAGAGGCAGCGGGGGCAAGGAGCGGGCATTTGGACATTGTTACAGGAAAGGAGGAGGAAAGGAAACCAGCAGGGGGTCAGGGAGTGGCCAGCGAGGCTCTGCCCCGGGCAGCCAGGGCCCCAGTGGGGTCTGTGGGTGGGGCCTGGGTGTGGGCCTCACCTCTGCTCCGCCGGAGCCGCCCCCAGTGGTAGTGGCACTCCTCCTCGCGGACGCAGCGGCCAGAGGAGGACACCAGGTACTCGGTGCCACAGCGGCAGCAGACTCTGCAGGAGGCTGAGTGGAGAGGCCAGAGCAGGGTGAGGGCTGGGCAGCCCTGCCCTCTGCACCCACCCACCCACCCAGGCAGGGGAGGCAACTCACGGTCCTTGGGCTTCTTCTCCTCCGCTGAGAGGATGACCGCACCGCCAGGCCGCTCGGGGTGGGGGAAGGGGTAGCCGTTCTCCTGCAGCTGCTCGGGGGTGAGCAGGTAGTCCCTGAGGCGGCTGTATAGGGCGGCCCCTGCAGACGGCGGCCTGTCAGCCCACGCAGCCTGGCCAGGGCTGGGAGGGTGGCCAGGCTGGGAGGGACCCGCTCACCTTTCAGGTCCTCCACCCGGGGACTGCTGGGGCGGCTGAGTGAGAAGCTGGTCTTGGCGGCCAACTTCCCCCCCAGCACCACCTCATGGGACACGACCCTCCGGCCACTGGCTTCTGGAAGGAAGCGGGTGAAGGAGGAAGAGGGGTGCACTAAACATCTGTCTAGTGCTGGCTGGGCACCCCAAACTGCTCCCCCGGCGGCCACCCAGCTCCCTGTGCCTCAATGCCCTTCCAGGACAGTTCCCCACTGCCCACAGGGCCTCGACCAGCCACAGGAGGCATGGCTGTGCCAGGCAGCCCCTCCCCACGAGAGCTCTGTGCGGGGCGGAGGCCCCCAGGAGAGGCTCTCCCTCCCTGGAGGGAGAGGGAGGCCGGGCTGGCTGAACAGTCATCCAGCGGTCTTCCACGGCTTTGTGCTGCTACAGCCGGAGGCCTGCAAAGGCCACCAGACACCTCTGAGTGCGGGCTGAGAAGCTAATGGAGGCAGGGGGGCCTGGAGGCCAGCGGGGGAGGCGAGAGCGAGCTGGGGACACGCCAGCTGATTGCTTAATGCACCCTCTCGAGAGGCAGTAATGAAATGTCTTAACCCGGCTCTTTCTTCCTCCCCAGAGCTTAATGCACAGAGCACAGCCCGGGCGCCAGAGCCTCTTCTTTGAAGAGGCTGTGAGCGGCTCCATTAGCGGGTGGCCCCTCAGCTCCGAGGCCACACTTGCCAAGGCGGGTGGTTAATAGTGAGAAGAGGCCAGGTCCACCTCAGGCAGCAGCCCGAGCGCAGGCAGCCACAGCCTGGCAGTGCTGTGCTTCCCCGAGGCTTTTGTCTGGGATCTTGGTGGGCTTCGGGCTGCCTGACCCTTGCAGGCCCTACTCCCAGTCCCTCTGATGGAGGCGACAGCCTGCATCTTCTACATACAGCCCCTGCCCCCAGAACTTACTGCTGAGACCAGGCACAGTGCTGGGGACCAGGCCCCTGAGCTTCTTGAGTGTGTTCACAGCGACATTCAAGTAGATATTCTTGCTGGGGCTGCGGTCATAGGCCACCTTCTCCTCATTCAGCGCCTGGACAGGACACACGGCACTCAGCCCTCAGGTCCCGACAGGCACCCTGGAGCCCCAGCAGCAGGTCAGGAGGTAACCAGGGAGCTGCCAGGACCAGTCAGGTCTCAGTACCAGAGAGAGGGCTGAGAGCCAGGGAAATGTCTGGTGACTGTCCCAGCCCCCAGCCACTAGACACAGCAGCCACAGCCACCAGCCCTGCCCAGCCAGCCAACAGGACAGTCACTTCTGGGGCCCCTACCTTCTCTATGGCCTCCTGGTTGGATGAGCAGAACTTGAGACACTCCTCAATAAACAGGTTGAGATAGCGTTGGCGGATGACGGTGGGGACCTTGCCCCCAAACTCTTTTGGGATAATGGGTTTCTTTAGACTCTGGAGAAAAAAGAGAAATAACAGAGGATCCTGGGGTGGACACTCAACATCATGCTACCCACCACGAGCCCCGCCGTGCACTATGGATGCCAGAGACGGCAGTGTGCATTTAAGGCACCAGCTGGGACAGAAACACCACACACAGTGTCAGCAACGGAGACACGTGAGTGTGGAGGGCAAGTGGGGCTCAGACTTCCAAAACCCAGAAGTTCTCTAAAAACAGTGCATGAGGCCCGGGGCTGGGGCTCAGCGGTAGAGCGCTTGCCTAGCACGTGCAAGGCCCTGGGTTTGATCCTTAGCACCCCATAAAAATAAAATAAAGATATTGTGTCCATCTACAAACGAAAAATAAAATATTAAAGATAAAAGAGTGCCTGAGGGCTGAGGTGCAGCTCAGTGATGGGGCACTTGCCCAGTATGCCCAAGGTTCTGAGTTCATCCACTCTAAAACGTAAACCCCAAGTATTTAACTGAACACGCAGAGGGAAAGACACAGAACAAAAATAAAACAAAAACACAGGCACAAAAGACCTCACAGAGGGAACCCAGAAGAATGAAGACCATGCTCCTGGGTGTCAGAGAACGGGATGGAGAGGCTGCCAACAGGGACCTGTGGCTGGCAGCCAGCTGGTGCCCATTACCTGTAGAGATGGACTGTGGGCGACGCGCTTGGGGGTGATGGTGGTGGTGGTCTTGGACGCCATCCCTGACAGCGTGCGCGTCTTCAGCGGCTGGCTGCCAGGCTCAGGGCCATGGGAGGCCTGGCTGCTGCTGGCCGAGAGGGTCCTCTTGGCACCTGTGGGGGCTGGCGGGGTACAGGGGACGTGAGTACAGGAAGAGAGGAGGCCCATCACCGAGCTGCGCAGCACCAGGCAGCTCCGGTCGTTGAGAGTCAGCAGGACGTGCATCTCTGAGTGCAGGGGGAGCGGCCGGGGCGCAGAGCTCGGGCTGCGRAATGGCATTAGGCTCTATCTGCTTTCTGGTAAGTCCATTGAGACGGGGAAACAAAAATCAGCTGCGGAGGCCGGCTCAGGCAACGTCGCCGTCGGGGTGGTCTGGCGAGTGGCGAGGGGCACACTGGGCCTCTGCCACATGTTCCGGCCCCCGACTCCGAGGCATTGACGTCTGAGGAGGACGCCCTGGCTCCTGGGCAAAGGACCAGAGGGTATGGGACGGCCCCGGCCAGTCATTATGACAAGCCACCAGCCTGCCCAGCACTGCCTCTGTGTTCTGCCTGTCCCTTTGATGAGGTCACAAACCAAACAGTCTCCCGCCCCTGGAGGAGAGCAGGGCTGCGGGGGAGGGGCTGTTTCTGAGGCTGGTCACTCAGGGTGGCTAGACCAGGCATGGGTCTGTGAGGTTGGGTATCTGGATGGCCCTGAACCCGGAGTGACACTGCGGAAGGGCACATGGGCACACACTGGGGTACATGCCCTCACTCTCGTGTTAAGGATCTGCATGGGCAGCTTCTCCCCAAAGTCCATCTGGCCCTTTGTGGGGGTTTCACAGCTGGGACTACAGTGGCCCTAGAATGGTTCCTGCCCATCCTATCTGAGAAGCAGGGCCACGTGAGCCCCACCTGACCTGGGAGGTACCCAGGGCTGCTCGAGCCAGCCCCCAGGGAGGAGGGGAAGAAGAGAGCTGTGGACAAGCTGTGCATGAGCCTCTGTAGCCAGTATCCACCCCTGACCGGTGCTAGCAGCTTCCAGGCTCTGCAGTGCACACCCTGGGCTGCTCAAGCACCCACGAACCCCTCCTCATTCAGGTCAGCCCTGTGGTGGGGAGCACAGTGTCTGGAGTGCCAGGCTGCCCAGGATGCTCTGTGACAGCTCTGCCCTCAACGCATCAAAAATGAGTAGGAGACCCAGGGAAGACACCAACTTGGGAAGGAGTGTGGTGACCCAGTGGCTTTGGAGAGGGGAGAGTTAGAATCACCCAGACAGAGCTTTCTCTAGAAGGTCCTAGGCAATGGGGCAGGACCCAAGGCTGCAGGGAGTCTGGATTTGCAAGGGCCCCTAAGACGGGCAGACCTGCAGGGCCTCCAACCACCAGGCTGCTCCAAAGGTGGGCTCTAAACCCAAGCAAGGGCCTCCCTTCCTGGCAGGTGCTGAGGCTTCCCTGACCCCACCCAGCAGAAGCTGCATTTCTTCTTCTTTTTTTCGGTACTGGGTGCTTATCCACTGAGCCATGATTGTGCCCAGCTCAGAATCTCTACTTTGAGGAGTCCTCCAGGTGATTCCACCTGTCACCTGCCTCCAGGGTGACCTCCTGGATGCAGATACCAGAGATGAAAAGGCTCATACAAAACAGGACTGTCTCCCCTTTCAATGTCCTGCCCACCTGCCCACTGAGGTGTGGTCATGATGGGGAAAAGTGCCCCCTGAGAAACACAGTCCACCCACCCCAGCAAAAATGGCTGCAGAGACTCATGAGAGCCCACACCCACTCATTCAGAACCTGCCAGATGCAGAGCCACAGGAGCTAGAGCTGGTACCACCCTGGTACCAGTCCCTACTGGTTTTCTGGCCTCTAACATCCCAGGGTGGTTGGGTCAGGGAGGATAATGAAGATGGTCCAGTAAGGAAGACTCTCATCCCCAGAGAGGTTAACTGAGGTCCCAGGGCAGTGCTCGAGGTCATTAAGTGGTACAGGGTGGCCAGGCCAGTGACCCTGGGGCTCTGCCTGTTCTTGTACCCAACAAGAAACATTCCCAAGCCCCTCCTCCCCCACCCTCCCCCCAGCAAGGGCCAGGGCTGGGGCGGGGACTCACCCGTGGCCAAGCGGGGGTTGGGGGTGTGGGCGATCCTCCGTTTCTCGCCAGGTGCAGCGATGTGGACGGAGGAGGGCTTTTCAGCTGGCCGGGGGGCGGCCTGCAGCCAGCTGGCTGACTCCCTCTGCATCTGCTGGGCCCGCCTGTAGCACACCTCCTGGGCAGTCGGGAGCCGGGCTGGGGGCACCGCTGGGCCCCTCCTCGGGGGCTCCGCCTGGATGAAGTCACATCCCGGGGCTTGGCTGCCTGTCTGGAGCACCCAGAGCAGGTGGCCCCAGGGAGGCTGCCAGCAAGGCAGCAGCGGCTCCAAAGATGGGTAGGCAGCCCCTCCAGTCACCCCTGAGCCTCTGCAGGGGACCAGCACAGAGACTCGGCCCCCAAGCTCACACTGCCCGAGGTCCAGAAGCATCTGCCTGACCTGCCTTCTTGGCTCCAGCCTCCCCAGTACCAAGGCCATGCCACTGGGTCCTGATATACAGGCAGGGTGGGGCAGGAATCCCTGGGCCTCTGATTAGGGCAATGCTTCAATCCAATCCTGCCTGATAAAAAATTCCTTTGGTCTCCAGCTTCCTGAATCCCTTGGCCCCTCCTCCCAGGAAGGGCCTGATGACAGAAGCCACTGGAACTCCTGGTTGCTGACCTTGGAGCCAGGGTTTCTACCCTGGCTTTCCAGTGCTAACTCACTGTCCCCCATGGCTATAGGAGAGGAAGCAAAGGCTCAGGTAGGGCAATCTGCACCAGGTCACAGCCCACTGGGGCCAGGACTCATGGCGGTCTCCCCTGCTCTGTGACACCTGCCCAGCGTTGGGGAGAATCTGAGGACATTATGTGGGTAGAATGCACCTCTCGCCCAGGACACAGCAGCTGCTGAAACAAGTCTGCCAAGTTCCCTGGACAGGAACACAAGGGGTCTGACATCCACAGAGGTGCCAGGGATAAAGGGGCTACGCCCTCCTCCCCCGAGAGTCTCCACCCAGGACCAAAATGCCAGCCCTTACCTCCTTGCCTTGCTTGGAAAGATGCGAGATTCTCCTCTTCTGCCCTGGGAACAGAGTGGTCAGGCCGGCATGCCCCTTCTCCTCACTCTTCTCGTCCTTGGGGGGCTGAAACACACGGCCGCTCCTCAACATGGATGTCTCCGCCAGGCCTCACGGACCTGACACGGGCACATGCCCTCCTCCCCACCCTGCCTCTAACCACCCTCCAGCGAGTGGAGGATGTGCCTTTCCAGGCCCTGATCCTGGGGCAGGCAGGACATTTCGCTGGTCTTGTAGCTGAGGCCCCAGAGCCAGGCCTTGTCCTGGATGGAGCAGCAGGTTCCACAGGAGCCCAGTCCCACCTCTCCTGCTCCTGCAGGGCATGGGGGCAGAGCTCAGGCACTGAGAACCAGATGACTCCAGACAGGCCCTGGAGGCCTGTACCTGGAGGGCTCAAGCCAAGTCCAACTTGGTTTAGGAGAGCTCCCTCTGGTGGCTGATGTGGGGACACTGGATGAGGAGGCCCAGAAAAGTCAGGGCTGGCCAGAGAACCAGGAATCCCTAATGTTCTGGGGGAGTGAGGGAAGGACCAAGAGAAAAGGAGGACAGAGACCAGAGTCAGGGGAGGCTGGAAGAGAGGAGAGGGGCTAGAGGCAAGGAAGGGTAGGAGAGAGAAGTCAGAGAAGAGAGGACAGAGTGGGGAGAGGGGCTAGAAGCAAGGGGTAGGGGACAAGGGGGGCAGGGCGAGGGGCGGGTTGGGCCCGATACCCCTTTGCCGGTCAGTCTGAACGGTCAGTCCAAACGCTGCCGCGGAAACCCGGCTGGGCGGGCTGTAAGCCAAGGTCCTCTTTCTGGAGAGGGTGCGGGGGGGCAGCAGGCGGCCACCGAGGGTTCCTGAATTTTAAATGAGTTAAGAGGCCAGTGCTGAAGGAGCAGCTTCTACCAGTCGTTGAGGTTCGAGTCGTCTGGAAACAGCTGTAGGGCGGAACGTCCCCTTGCAGGGCCCTCGCCAGGGCTGAGTACCGCAGGGCCAGGACTGAACCCCAAGGCTGGCCCGACCAGGAGCCCAGCTGCAACTGCCCGGTGCCCCTCACCTGCCGGGCCAACCGGCCCTTGTCCTCCGTCTTCACACTGGTGGACTCGTTGAAAATCCGCAGGCACTCCTCCATGGGGTCGGAGTCAAAGTCGACCTCCTTCTCCAGGGCCGAGTAGTCCACATCCTCCTCTGCATCCTCCCCAGCCCCTGAGGAGGAGGAGGAGGAAGAGGAGGAGGAAGATGCAGGGGAGGGGGGCGGGGAGGCCTTGAGACGTTTGGGCAGCTGCGGGGCGGTAAGGCCCAGGCTGGAGTCCGAGTCCGAGTCTGAGTCTGAGCTGAGGCTGGGGAGGGCAGGGGGACGGACCTGCAGGGCCCTGGGCCCAGGGCCCTCCTCCTCGCTCTCATCCCCAAAGAGCTCGGCGTGGCTTAAGGCCCGCTTCTTCAGCTTGGGGGCATCCTGAGAGGCACCCTCGTCCAGCGAGCGGGCCTTGCGCTCTACCAGCTTCCCCGATGGCATCTTCCCGCCACCCTTCCTGTCTGGCAGTTGGTGGGGACTGGGACGAGAGTCCTGGGGCCGGGGGCCCCCACTGGTGGGCCTCCCTTTCCCTGAGCTGGCCACTGGGGTGGCTGAAGATGGCTTTTTCTTGGTCCCTTCTGGCCGCTCGGCCTTATGCCGGGGGCTGCCAGTCTGTAGGCTCTTCTTTTCTGCACCTGGTTTCTCAGACCGCCCTCGGTCTTTGTCCTTGGTCTTGTCTTTCTTCCGGGCACTGTCCTTGTGGCCAAGGGATAGTGGGGTCCCACTTTTCTTCTTGGGTATGCCTTCCTTCGGGCCACCCTGACCCTGCAAGGCCCTGGCTAGGGAGCCAGATTTGGCTGGGGACACCCCATCTGGGCCCTTTGGGGGCTGCCCGAGGTCTCCCACGTCGCACTGAACAGCCATCTCCTTGGTCTCCCGCAGACTGCCCTCCTCGGGCTCCAGGCCCTCCTTCGGGGATGGCTTCCCAGGGATCTTGCTCTTGGGGCTTGTCCCAGCCTTGGAAGGACTGGCCTCGGCCACAGGGGAGCTGGCTGTGGCTGGCTCTTCTGCTGCAGCTGGGGTGGTGTCATCCTCAGAATCTGAGAACCTGGCATCGCAGCCACCAAAAGGGTCACAGGGCTTCTTGAGAGCAGGTGTATAGGGCTCGCTACCACGGCAGCCCCGGGGCCGCTTGGTGGCCCTCTCATCCCTGGAGCTGGCCCTGCTGAGATGCCGGGCTGAGTAATTGGAGAGTGGATCATACTCTAGGTCAGTGGACGGCTTGGAGTTGTCCACTACGTACTTGCTGCTGGGCACAGGACGGCCGTACCTCCGGGACTGGCTTACAGCCTTGGGAACATACTCTAGGGCGCTGCTGCCCCCTCCCACCTTGCCTTGACCCCTCTCCAGAGATGCCAGGGAATACTTGCTGCCAGGTTCAGCAGGGGTGGCCAGCGGGGTGGGCTGGTAGCTGGCATCAGGGGTCAGCAGGCCATGGCTGCTAGAGGTATAGCTAAAGGGCAGCGGGAAGGCATCCTTGTCCAGGGCTGAGGTGGGGCTGGTAGCAGGACCGCAGGGGGCCAGGGCAGCAGCCCCGGTGGAACTGTACTCGGCGGAGCTGTACTCGCGGGCTGTCTCCAGTAGTTCCTGATACCGCCGTTGCTCCAGCTCCACTTCACTGCGTACAGCCTCGATGGCCTGGTTGACCAGCTCCAGCTCCAGGATGTCCGAGCGGGGCTCATCCCCCCGGCCCAGGGCGCCATTCTCCCTCTGTGCTGGAGGCTTGGGCAGTTCGGGGTTGTATGGATCATAGCCAAGCCCTGAGAGTGAGAGAGGAGAGAAGAGCCGGTGAGCAGGCCTGAAGAGCTGCCGCATGCTGGCCTCCACAGGGCAGGGAGAGCAGAGCCAGCCCTCCTGGGACTAACCAGACTCCAGGCTCTGGCCCAGGTCCCAGCAGCCCCCACTGAGGCCCATGCAGAGGGGTAGGAAGCAGGCAAGATCCTGGCAACTGCCAACAGCAGCATGTCCCAGAGACATCCCAGCTCCGCTCAAGGAATTTACACACTGAGTTCACGATGCAAAGGCGACATGGCAGACCAGGCTACCTGGGCAGTGGGCCACGCAGCCCGACAGTTCAAGGCTCTGGGCTGAGCCACCAACCAGCTCTGGCAGTGGACACAAGGGTGAGGCCTTCCATGGGAACTGGGCTCCGCTCACCCAGTGGTGTGAGTATGTCACAAGGCCCAGTGTCTCCCACAGACTTTTTTGTTTTTAATTGGAATTTGAACCCAGAGGCTATATCCCTAGTCCTTTTCCCTTTGAGACAGGATCTTGCCAAGTTGCTAAGGCTGGCCTCAAACTTGCCATCCTGTCTCAGCCTTGGAAGTCACTGGGATTATGGGCCCACACCACTGTGTGCAGCTTTTTTTTTGTTTCTAGCTGGGGTCTCCCCAAGTTGCCCAGCTCCCACAAACTTTTTTGCGTATGGCAAAGTTCACTAGGCCAGCCCTAACTTGGGAGAAAGTGAAAGCCAAGAAAGCACCCAGCGCCAACCACCTCGGGGTGGAGGAAGAGTCCCCACTCAGCACACTGTCCTGTCACACCTGCATAAGACGTGTGAAGGAAACAGGTCTGTTGGTGATCACATTTGTGTAGAAAAAGAAAAAGCACGACACATTCAAACACTTTGAAAAACACCATGAATGGGGCAGAGAGTCAGACAGACTGGAAGACCGCATTCATGGCTGGCCAGCTGAGGGCTGTGGCCTCTAGAAGCTGGAGAAGGCAGGGCTCAGATTCTCCTTGGAGCCTCAGGAGGGACCAACCCTGCCACACCTGGACCTTAGGACTTCTGGCCTCCAGAAATGCAAGAGGACAAATGTTTATTTATTTATTTTTGCAATACTGGAGACTGAACCCGGGCTGTGCACAGGCTAGGCGAGCGCTCAGCTGCTGAGCTACATTCCCAGCAGTCTATACGGTTTTAAGCTACTGATTTTGTGATAACTTGTTATAGCAGCCATAGGAAACCCATAGCCTGAAAAAGAAAACACTTGCATGGAAAAGATGACCACAAGTCGAGAGACAGAAGGGAGAAGATACACAGGTCCAACTAGCAGGACAAAAGATCCAGCCTGCTCACTCCACAGGGGCTGCCTGCCACCCAGCTGTCAGGAGGACACTCCTGGGGCTAGGGCTCAGTGGTAGAGCACTTGCCTGGCATGCGTGAGGCGCCGGGTTCGATTCTCAGCACCACATACAAAATAAAGGTCCATCAACAAATAAAAAATATTTAAAAAAAGAGAAGACACTACTGAGAGGAACAGGAAGAGAATGGGCAGCCAGGAGGCCACCACATGAAGTGCCGGAGATGGACTGTCCAGAGCAGCAAGTGGCTCTGCCACAGCCCTGCTGCCACCCAGGGTTGGGAGGGGCTCTCTGGAGAGCAGCCTGTAGCACCCTAGGCTCACCCCAGCCCACCTGCAGACACACAGAAGAGACAGATGTGAAGGCACAGTTGGAGGCACCACCTGCAGAAAATAACAAAGGAGTGGACCTGGAAGCCTGAGTGCCATCACCTGGGGCTGAAGAGCACACTCGGTCCCACCCCCAAGGTACACTGCTGTGGGAAAGACAAGGACAATGGGAGTGGAGGGTGGTCAGGGCGAGCACAGTCTGTGCCCTTCAAAGCCTCTCCACAAACACAATTAAGCCAAGGATGGGAACAAGGCTGCCACAGGTCCTTATCTTGCCAGCTGGCCAGTGGTCTCAGGGGGCGGGAGCCCTTGTGCACAGCAGTACAATGGTGTCTTCATTTATTCTGTATACAGTGCTGACAGGCATGTCTAAGACGGGCCGATAAAAAAGTGAGACAAGCCGTGGAGCCATGTAGCAAAAGTGGACAGATAGGCTGCTGCCCAGTACCAGTTCTGGGCCAGAATTCCAGTACCAAGACACTGTCTGCTTCTTAATTTTTTTTTTTTTTTTTAAGCTGAGGGATGGGGCACCAGGATCAGAAAGTGCAGCTGCCCTGTTCCTCTGCTCAGGTATAAGTGGGGCACTCCCATCTCTAGGGCCAAGGAGCTGAGCACCCCGAATGTGAGCTCATACACTGAGGAGAGGACAGGACTGCACCAGGAGGGCCACTGCTCTTGCCCAGTCAGCTGCCCTACCCCTTCAGGCTGCGGCAGGGGGAAGGGCGAGTATATTGAGAGAGTAGATCAAGGCCTGGGATTTGTTTTGTTTTGGTACCAGGGATTGAATCCAGGGGGGCTTAACCAATGAGCCACATCCCCAGCCCTTTTTATTTAGTTTGAGACAGGTCTCACTAAGTTGCTGAGGTTGGCTTGAACTTGTGATCCTCCTGCCTCAGCCTCCCAAGTCACCAGGATTACAAGCAGATACAGTACTCACAGGCTAAGGCCTGGGGCCAGACAAAGCACACACCACGGAAACCACTCTCTAGCCCATCTCAAAGCCACTGAGATAGGACTTTAGACATCTTGTGTTTTGGAAGGAGAGGCCACTGCCTAGGTCAGGCCAGGAAGGTTCTCCCAGAAGCTGCCCAACTGAGAAAGGTACTCCTAAAAGGTCCTAGGAAAAGCTGGGTGCAGTGATGCACGCCTGTAATCCTGGCTACTTGGGAGGCTGAGGTAGGAGGACCACAAGTTTGAGGCCAGCACAGGCAACTAAGGGAGGCCCTAAACAACTCTGCAGGACCATGTCTCAAATAAAAAATAAAAGGGCTGAGTGTCTGAGGCTRGGGTTGTAGCTCAGTGGTAGAGCGCTCGCCTAACATGCATGAGGCACTGGGTTCAATCATCAGAACCACATAAATGTAAAATAAAGACATTGTGTCCACCTAAAACTAAAAAATAAATATTAATTAAAAAAAAAAGGGCTGAGTGTCCCTGGGTTCAATCCCCAGTACCAAAATAAATACATAAACAAATAAGTGGGTTCCATCCAGAGGGAGGGGTGGAGGAGGGTCAGAGCTGCTCAGACCCTAAGCTGGCTCCACCAGCCCCAGCCGAACACTCTAGTGCAGGCCAATGATGACCAATGATGTGAGCTGGAGGGCTCCAGGAGCACTGTACCAAGGGTAAAGCAACTGCCCTGCGGGGCCAAGGTCAGTTACATCCCCTTTGACCATCTATTTCCTCCAGGCACTGAAGCTCATCCCTGCACCCAAGTCCCCCTGTTGACACCATATAGTGATGCCCTGACCCAGACAGGTCCATAGGCAGAGCCACAGCTAACAGAGTTGGACTGTAGCCCACCTGCAGTTCAGACCTGAGCACAGGGGCCCACAGAGTGGTAACCTGAGGCTTAGGAGCCCCAATACAGAAGGTATCACTGCCCCCTCCGCCCCTGGACCCTCCCTCACAGGGCTGAATTTTGTTCTTTTCTCTTTTTTTTTTTTTTTTTGGTACTAGGGATTGAACCCAGTGTGTTTTACTGCTAAGCCACATCCCCAGCCTTTTTTTAGTATTTGGAGACAGGGTCTCACTAAGTTGCTTAGAGCCTTGCTAAATTGCTGAAGCTGGCCTCAGAATTGCAATCTCCCTGCCTCAGCCTCCCAAGTTGCTGGGATGACAGGGGGGTGCCACCAGGTCAGCCTAGGAAAATGTTTTGCATGCTACTTGATGCACCTGTGGCTCACCTCCGCACTTGAGGTTGGGGGACACATCAAAAGGAGGAGCCTGGGCTGAGTTATAGTTTAGTGCTGCAAAATAAACTTTTTTTTAAACCAGGGATTGAACCCAAGGGTGCTTAACCACTAAGCAACATCCCCAGCCCCCCTTTATAATTTTGTTGAGAGACAAGGTATCTCTGAGTTGCTTAGGGCCTTGCTAAATTGCGGAGGCAGGCTTTGAACTTGTGATCCTCTGCCTCAGCCCCCTGAGCCACTGGATTACAGGCATACACCACCAAGACTGGCAAAATAAACACAATTTAAAAAGGGGACCCTGAGGTGGGATGGGCCCAGGTGGGATGGCCTTCCAGCTGTGAGAACTTGGATAGCACCTTCCATCTGTGAGAACTAATCCAGGTGGAAGCAAATGAGAACTTCTTCAGGGATTTGGAGAGGTAAGCATTGTTTGGTAAACAAGATTAACTGCATTTTTCTCARAGTAGGGATATGGCAACTGACAACAGTGACTTCAAAAGCCTAAGGCTCCTCTAGGTTGTGCCCTTCTTCCCCATCTCACCAGGGCCAGGAAGGGAGGGCACACAGCCCCAACAATCCCCAAGCCAGAGCCTCTCTGGCAGTGACTGCAGGGATGTCCCTTCCAAGGCCCCACGCCCAGCCTCCCTCCTGGCCCAGGCAGAGCTGGCTCCACCTGCTAGAGTTCCAACCACCTGGCCAGCTCTCTGCAAGACCCAGCCCTGACTCAGGGGCCCTGTCGCTAGTTCCTTAGAGGTGCCCAGGCACAGAGCTCCAAGTGGGCTGGACACCTGCAAGAGGGTGGTGCTTCCTTCTGGAGCCCTGGGCACTGGATCTAGGACCAGGCACAGGTCCCCATCCCTCCCAACCTCACTTTGGCTGTGGTTTTCTGCCCAGGGTACCACCTGCCTCTGAATGGGGGCCTGGGTCCCCCAGGAAGCCTGGCCCAAACTCTAACTACATTCAGAATAACCAGAGGACTCTGAAAATTACAAGAAGATGGACAGCAGAAACTCCTCTGAATTCCCAGTACCTCCCCAGAGCTCTGCCTTCACCACTTCCTGCAAATGCCCTAAGCTGAGGTCACAGATGCGGAAGCAGGAGTGGGAGGGAGCATTCCTGGGTCCTGAGCCCAGGTCTCCCTCACTGCCT